CTTCATCCATTTCTGCAGCCAACTTAACTTTACCTGCTTTTATTGCGTACCACACACACACATACAAAGACAACTAGAAGACAGTAAGAATTGCAGTGTTGCACTCAGTGTTTCTGCAAACCCTTCCTTGGCCTTCAAACATAGCAGCAGTAGGAAACAGTTCAACACTTCAAGGAGTTTGAGGCAGACACACTTTGTTAAGCATGTCATTTTGATTTCTCATTTTGGTCTATGAGGCCACTGAGGCAGCTGGAGCACATATCTTCTGTTGAACCTCTTCATTCTCTCCATCCCCTCTCCTCCAGAAGGCAGTGAGGTTTGACTCCTGCAACTGCTTGTTCAGAGGTGTCAGCATGTGTAACCTGCTGCTCTTGGGCTTCCCAGCTGGACTGACAGGATATGGCTATGATCCAAGCAGGGTGATGTCTCCAGACCCTTTCTGTCTCCAGCACAGGAGCAGTGATTTTTGTTCCAGTTTTTCCTGGCCTTCTCCCAGAGTCAGAAGTTATCTTTTTGAATTGTTTGCAGTTGAGGAAATGCATTTGAAAATAAGGTTATAACCAATGGTATTCTAAAATATAATGGCATTAGATATGAAAAATGCAGTTTCTTGCTGTTAAGCCTGTGAAAAGAACCCTTCTGCTTTTCCAAGTGTAACATTTGTTCAACAAGCTTGAATTTATCCATTGTGGCCAAAGCTGAAGGTATACTTTGACAATTATGTCTTATGACTAATCTTTAATGGACTTGCTCTTTCTGATGCTAATGGTGAATCTGTAGTTTCATCTGCAATTTGGAAACACAGAGTCATGTGGACCAGGGTGGATGGGATACATTATCCAGGATGGGATGGTCCATGAACTTTTGTGAAAAGTGCCTTAATGTCTGTTTGTCACTGCCCTGAGGCAAAGCACAAAGCTTAATATGCATCTTCCCTGGTGAGCCAGTAAGAGAGAGAAAATCTGCAGATTAGAAACTCCTGGTACAAGTTAGATAGTTGATTTAGACAGCTGATTAACTGCTTAAGTAATTGACTAGATCTGACTAATTAGTGGTTAATGGTAAGGTTCTGTCAGATTAAATTGATCTCTAGTAAGCCAAAGGACAATTATGAGCTTGCAATCACTCTGATTATTTTCCCCCTGCATTGTTACAAGAACCCCAGTTAGAGGTAATGCGATAATTTAGGACTATTATGTAAGGCTGTCTCCTTGCCACAGGACAGTGCTTCAAGCGCTGCTATAAATTGGGGCAATGCAATTCCTAATGTCTGGTGAGATATGTGATTAAGTAATAATTGATTTTTTTGGGGAAACTTCTGTAATGCTGTCATTAGTTTCATATTGCCTGTCAATTCATTGCCCATTGAAGTGCAGATTGTTGCAGGCAGCCAAATAAACAGAAAAGCATAGAGGTTAAAGCTGGTGACCAGTGTGAGAAATGTAAACAGAAGGTTTAAAGCTCTTTTTCCAGGTTATCTACAGCCCTGGCTTGATGCTTGGTAAAGCAGAAATTTTCTTTTTGAGTAGTCTATGTCAATGCCATCAGAATAGGAGCTTAGCTACACACAATTAAGGTTCTTCAGCAACACAAATAGTTTGAGTCAGGTTGCGTGTCTCAAATATTTTGATCAGAAACACGAAGGTGTATGTCCACTCTGGATGTCATCTGTTGGATGCCTGGAAGGCATGTCTGGCAGACTTATACCACTATCATTGCATATTGATGTACTCACTGTAGCTTGTAATTGGTAAGAGACAGCATCAGGCCTTGTGGATTTTGACTTCCCCAAGAGGAATATTACTAATGAAGTAAGATAGATTTTTGCAACTAGAATCATTGGAACCTCGCTGTTTTCTTTTTTTATCTCTTTCCTTTTTTCCACCCTTTCAAATTACCTTTGATCTTTACAGAGATATTTCTATATATTTCCGAAGAGATGATGAAGTCAATTTGACTATCTATGCTTGCAAGATATTTCTGGTAAGACACTTGCTGTGTTTCCACATTTGTTGCGTCAGCCATTACTCATGTACCTACTTGTTTACTACTCTTCTTGGAAGAGCAGGAGAGAAGTGAGACTAATAAAGCTATGCACAGTGATAATTTATTCAGTTGTTAAATCAAAACAAAAAAGCACTCAAAAACTTGATTTAGAAATCTTTTAGCTGAAACCACATTTGACATAATATATTCAATTTAGATGGAAATTAAATGAGTTATATTGGGCACCTGTAAGAAAAGCCAAAGGAATGTAGGTATGGTTTACAAGCTGATAATGTAAATCCATCCCCTTTGCTTTTATCCAGTACATCCATTGTGTTTTGTCTTCCAGAAAGTGAGAAATTCAAGTCTGGTTTATTGTTTATGAAGTCCTTTGAAGTGGGAGAGGTTTTACTGTGCCTTATTTTATTTTCTCTCTTTGGTTTGTTCCACTTTTCAGTTTTAGCAAATTGAACATTCATTACAGCAGACTGCAATCCTGTTGCATGTTTTCCATGTGGGTGCCTTAATCTATAGGCTGGAGGGTTTTCCTTTCCTTTTGTTCCTAGAATTTATCTTGTTGCAAATGAAGGGGTTTAGAAGACAGCTAGAATCTTACACTCACCTCTGGGGGTAATACCCCACTTCAATTTCAGTGTCCATCTGAGTCAAGACAAGGATACACACATGTGTCTCCAGTCTGTAGTACAGCACTATGAGTTCTGTGAAATGTGGTGATCTGGCCCAAGTTTTCTCCTGCTGCAGCTACTCCAGTTAGGAATCAGGACACCCTCCTGATGGTATGAACTCAAGTGTTGTCACTTACCAACGTCTTACTGGTTTGCAAAGCTCTTGAGCTCAGGTGTAGCTTTTGTGGGGTGGGAAACCTTTCTGTTGGCAAAACTGCCAACCCTGAGCATGCTTCTGGGCTGACACAGTGTGACCACCTACTGCTGTGCAGAGGGAAAGTGAGATGCACTGCTCATCAGGGGATGCCAACTGCAGCTTATGTGAGGAAATTACTGGGCGTGGGGGATTATGGTTCATAGAGACAGCCCCTACAGATTCATGATGGACCATCCAGTAAGGCGGGTATCAACTAGCTCTATTTGAGTGGCCACATTTATCCAGCTCCTTCTCCTAATTTACCTGACTGTTTAGAAAGGACATATAGTTTTTCCACTGTGCACCTGCATAAAATTGAAAGGGATGACTTGTTTTAATGTAGAGTGGAGATAAACAGGTTATGCCCTTCTGAAATGTTAGTTTTGCAACAGTTGAGTATAGTTGAGTGAATATAAAAATCCTAAGGCCATTACACAGTGTAACTGGTCTCACTCAGGTTGGGTTTATTTAGGAGAAATAAATTCAGATTAAATGTTTGAGAGTTATTTCTGTAGTGAACATGTAATTTTTAAAATATCTTTGATTATACAGGGAATAATAAATTAAACTCTACTATAACGAGACAGAAGTCAGTGCTTCCTTTGAAAACTGGATTCTGGCTCAAAGACTGCTTGTCCAGTTTCTGGAAACTAAACAAAAGTTTGAGTTAAAGTCACTGAGAAGAGATTGCTGAAATCCGTTTCAGGTCCTTTGGCACAAAGCACGCAGGCGGAAATGTTTTCTTGCCAGTTAACTAGCGCTTCTCCTCTTGCTCCTGGTAC